GAAACAAGATGTACGAGCACAAGAAAGCCTTTGAATCAACGATCCAAAACAACAAGAGCGAACACCGACTCAAGGAGGGAATGCTCCAGATGGAGATCGGGAAGCTCAAGGATAGAATCCTCGTGCAAGATGTGCATATGACAGTTTTGAACGACGAGCTCACAGGAACCTAGGCGGCAATGCTCGACACGGGCAAAGAAATGATGGAAATCAAGGCAGCTAACGTTAAGCTGCGGCACGAGCTAGCTTCGCTCAAAGCAAGCGGTGTCACTATGATGCAAGGTCAAACATCCGGCACGGTCCAATCGCACAAGCCACGCATCAAAATTGCCAAACCTCCACACTACTCGGGCAAAGGAAGTCTGGAGGACTGGCTCCAACAACTCGGTATATGGATGCGGTGGAACGAGATCAACGACGATGAACACAAGATTACCACGGCCTTACTGCACTTGGAAGGTGGCGCGTTCACATACATGTCCGAATATGCGACCAGAGCAGCAGCACGGCAGGCACTTGGCACATGGGAAGACTTCGTCAACATTCTCAAAGTGAACTACAGGACCCTTGACCCGGACAAGGATGCGCAGCAGCATTTGAAGGATATCTGCGGCAAGACGTATCCCACAATGGTATCCTTCGCAGAACAGTTCCGTCAATGGGCCACTAAGACCAACTTAGGGCACACTGCACTCATCGGTTACATCGCTGAACACCGAAGCAAGGACGTACGCCAGGCAATGGTCACACGAGACAGCCTAGGAATTTCCGACCCCATCACATGGCCGGAATACCTCGACCTGTGCCTTCAACTGGAGTCCAAGTTCAGAGCCGACAAAGCAGGACAATGCGGAATGGTTACAACATCATCATCATCGGCACCACGAGCCCCGAAAGACCCCAACGCAATGGTCGTGGATCGAGTATCCACCCTCACCAAGGAACAAGAAGGATGGCTGGAGAAGAAGCTGTGTGTACGATGTGGGAAACACCCCTTCGTTTTTAAACAGCGATGCCCAGACCCCAAGTACAAAGGCAAATTCGAAATGCTGAAGCGGGGCCAAGCAACAAGGGCAATTTCTTCAAACACGGCCTCAGACATCTCCGACGACAGCAAGGTGAGATATGAAGCAGTCCGTGCTTTCATCGCCAGCTACGACGCGAAGGGAAAGGAAAAGGGACCGGAATCAGCTGTCGAAGCAGCTAGGATCACGGAGGTAGAAGATGATGAGGATTTTCTTCGGCGGATTCTCTGAGGTCTGGCCAGAGTTCCCATAGACACTGTAATAGTACCTACTCGCTCTCGCATGTACCAGTATCAAGTTTTTTATACATCGCATCTACTGGTTCGTCAAAACACGCGATCGATCTACCTGTTCACCTCAAACAGGGAGTAAGGGAAGTCCAGACTGAGGCGCTCCTCGATTCAGGAGCATATTCTTGCTACATCAACACACGGCTGGTTGATCAGTTGAATCTAGCTACAATCTCACTTGAGAAGAAGATCAGGGTCTACAACGCAGATGCATCTCACAACAAGGGTGGAACCATTAAGAAAAGGGTTCTTCTAAGTATAACCATCGGAAACCACACAAGCAGGCAAAGCCTTTTGGTCACCGATATAGGACATAAAGACGTTATACTAGGCATGAGTTTCCTCAAAGAGCATAATCCCAAAGTGAACTGGGGAAAACTCACAGTCGATTTCACCTGGTGCCCACAAAGATGCACACCCTCACAGGTAGCAATCCAGGAGGAGGACCTGGAAGACACAAACATCCCTCACATCGAAGACCTGATGGAGTTCGTCGGTTCCCAGGAGTTAGGTGACAACTGGAACGACATGGACAGCTTCATCAGATGGGTGTCATTATCAGAAGACCCTGATGCACAGGCCGTAGCATCACTCATTATGGGTCTTGACACCAAAAGGAATCAGGATAGAGCACCACAAAAAGGAGAACAGGACAAAGACTACTGGTCAGCCTATGTCCCCAAACACTTCCACGAGTATGGCGATGTGTTCTCCAAGAAGCAGTCAGAACGAATGCCCACAAGAAAGCCCTACGGTCATCCAATCGAACTTGTTCCAGAAGCATCGTTATCACGCCCGGCAAAGTTATATCCTATGAACCTACAGGAAAGAAATTTGCTCGACACGTGGATAGACCAAGAGTTAGCCAAGGGCTACATCAAGAGATCAAGGAGTCCAACCGCAGCACCCGTTTTCTTTGTCAAAAAGAAAGACGGATCACTGAGGCTCGTACAAGACTACAGGAACCTCAATGCAGTCA